ATACTTTTTAGCACGTAGCTATTTCTTATTAGCATTATTCTTCCGTCGTCTGATTTCTTTTTAATTATAGGAAATGCATTTTTATAAGGTACATAAACTTTTGGGATTGACAGTATAGCTAATACATACTTAAACTCGTCGGTTTGTTTCCAAACAGTCGCGCATTTATTTCCCGGATTTTCCAAGTTTCCCATTTATCTGAAGTAATCGAATAGCACGGCCGGCAAGGTGTACCGAGTATAAACGAGAACTTAATCGACGTCGATCAAGCTAAGTCTCATCGAAGCCGCTCCTTCATCACTTTAATCAACCCCCCTAGATATAGAAGCGACATCGACTCGTGCGGTTGATACATAGTACACTGCCTTGTGCATACAGTCGTACGTCGCCATCAATGGTACCTGTATTCTTCCGAAGAGTTAAAAAAAAATCGACGTAGTTCTATGTCTCGTACGCTGACACCTCCTTTAACAAACGTTTACTCAATGAAATTTCCTAAAGGATACACCAAACCGAGCTTTCTCCTAGCTTAAAACTCATGTCAGCCAATATTTCTCTCATAGATGATATAAATTCGAGAATTATGGATTGCATAAGAAATAAAGGATGAGACTGATATCACTCTACTTCCCGATTAGAAGCGTGCACACGCGTTACTACTGGAACGCCGGATCGATACAAAACGGATCACTTTCTTTTTCCTCCCCATTTATACGCATCGATCTTTTTAAAACCAAATGCATTAGCCAGCTAATTCATGCGAATCGTACTAATAGCCGCGAGATATTAACGACATCACTAAAAATGTACGTGCGACATAAGGAGAGTAAATTACCTGTTCCGCTTAAAGAGATACCAAAATAAGAGCAATTAACTAATAGCTTTCAGGATATTAATAAGATCTCTTAGCATATACAAAGTTCTGACTAAAATGATATGATAATTATACTTAGTAAAGAGATAATAATTTACTTTATAACTTTTTAATATTTCATGAACGTAATTCGATAAGATCAATGAGGAGAACTTGGCCGATGGGAAACAAGAGGTGTCGTTTCTCTATAAACGACAGACTCATAAAATAGTAATTAACTGTAATGTACGTGGCCAAATGAGAATCCAACGTCTACAACCCCTGTCCAATAGTCATAAAAAGGTCCAATTTTAATCGAGAGTCTGCTATTATCTTCAAATATTATTTTTACACACGCACGAAGATTTCCTCGCTTCATGAACAACCGCAGTCAATTAATTTCTCGAAAAATTATGGGAACATTTCGCCTTCTCCTCCGCAGAGATTTATAACATTCCTATTCTCGACGCGTGCTTACAAGGCGCTTTACATTTCTTGCGGCCCGAATCATTAAATCACCAACGCATTAGCCGCGGACCCTGCCTGTACACATGTATTTTTACCAGAGAAAACGCGTACACCCGCGCGGCTTGATCTTTATTAATGATATCGCCAAGTTATTGTTATTCGCGATTTTCCTCGAAATAAACCCGCGACACTGATGAAACTACTTGGACTCGTTATTTATTTATCTACGTTATGTGCTTAATTTCATATTCTATCAGTTAAAAATGAAAGATGTTGAACAAGTTAATATTTCTACAATTATAAGAATAGGCATAGCTTTTTTTGCTTTCTGGTGAACATCGAGACTAGATTATTTTTATCGTGCGGATATCACGTGCGCATTATCACGTTCATTGACGCAACATCATCGGTGGAAAATCGCTCGGTTGCACCTATTCTTGTCGCCGGCTGACAAACGACTCGTGACAGGCGACTTTATTCATTCACTCGTTTCTCCGATTCGATTTTGAATAAACCAACTAGACATGCGAGAATACAGCTAATTACGAATTAATGATTTCGACGATTCCATTGTTGGCTAATAATGAACCGTAGGAAACTGGAAACCGTATTGTGAGTACCTCGACGGGATAACACGTATTGTACATTTTATGTGAGAATAATCAGACGACGCTGCTTCTCATAGTACACTGACTGAAATTAAGTAGCAGACAAAACATTTTGGGAATGATACATAAACAGAGATTATATAGATTTATATTCGCTTGCAAAGTAACAAGAATTGTAGCAGGCGCTCTTTATTAAATCGATTATTACTGTGAATCTTTCGAACAATCTATTCTTCGTCTCTTGTTACAGAACATTTCGATAAAATATTATTGAAATTACGATTAAGCAGTTTAAAACGCGATGCGATCACGTAATGGACAGAGTATGGTGCACGCGGTTAAAACGAGTCACATCCAGATGCGTCGCTTACGAATAATTCCAACTTCCTTTAATCATGCTAATTTAAATATTTTTATCTCGCTGCGAATTAAATGTTCCACACAACATCAATCAAGAGCCTTATTCCATGAAAAATTACATGTATCGTTGAACTGGGTGCTCGCCCGTCCGCAATGTTTATAAATGCCGATGCACGCTTGAAATTAATTTCCAGAGACTTTGACTAAATTCGATGTCCGTGCAAAAGGCATTGAAATCACCACTGAGAAACATGGAATATTTCTAGTTTCGGATTTATTCAAAGAGATCGAAGACTTTAAAATTTACTCTGAATATCCCTAAACGAATCGAACCTCCAAAGTAAACATCAGCTTCATCTGTTGCAACATTTCAATCCGGGTCGTTCTGTATTTAAACACTGCCAACTTTTCACGATCATCTGTTTATCCTCGAATTAATAAAAACCGAATTTTGACCACGACTGTTTCTTTGCCATTGGCTATGAATCCGATCGAATTAATCGTATTAACTCAAGCAAATTATCCCGATCACTTGTCTACCGTTTAACTCATGTACAGAAAGATTCGGAACAAGAAATCAGAACGTTCGATCGATTCGCGATAACGGGTGAAGAATGAATCGATCATCACCCCTGAAGAGTCGAACGGGCCGGTTTACGAAGAAGACGAGCGGCACTGCCGCTGTCCGGCGCGGCGGAAGTGACCGGCGGACAAGAGGAAATCGAGAAACGACGCTGCCGGAACGGAGTTCGACGGGTTTCGGGCGAACGCGTGGGTGTATCGTACCGTCGAAGCGACGCAATAGTCCATCCGCGGAATTGAACGTTTAACGTCAGACTGAAGGCCTTCTGGCTGCCATACACACCTTCGCCAGAGGAAGAGGAACGGTCGGTCGAGTCTGCGCCGTTTGCACGTGGACACGGATCTAAAGCGCAAAGTCGCCGGCTAAGAACCGGAGGACCCTGCCAAAAATCTATACACGGTGTGCCCAAAGAATTCCAGGGCCGAATAAAAGCCGGGAATAGACGTTCCAGCTGATTTCCGAATAACGGTCGACTGAACGCACTCAGAGAAAACGCCATGAAATTTAGTATATTTAAGGGGATCAAACGCCACGAATTTCGTCCGTCCAAAAACTATTAACAATCATAAGTTAAAGTAAAACAACTAATTGAACTTTTATAGACATATAAGTGAGCCATTATTATTCGTGACTAAATAAATCGAATGTTTCCTAGTTCATCGGATATCGACAAGGGACGTGAATGACGCGCCCGTTAATGATGTCCGTTTCCTTATTTATGTGGCACTAACGCTTTTCGGATATGTGTACCCTATATTTATTCGTTCCAGGCGCGCGCGTGAAAACTGCAACGCCAAATGATGATGGCTCAAGGTTGGTTCATGGCTCAGTATGCAACGAAAACGGTGCAATCTTTGTATACGTAATTTTATCACCGTTAAATGTTTTCCTCGAGAAACTGAGCAAACTTATACATCATCATCTTTTAAAAATAAATTTCCGGCGAACGTCAATTTGAATATATCCAATAAGGAAGAAAAAGAATATTTTTAGTATAATTAAGGAAATAAATATTTCTAGATGAATAAATCTCGCTTTTTACGTATTGACTTCAACGACTTCGTTTCAACAGATTTCCTGCATTTAAGAATAGAATTCGAAACGGCATGGTACAAGTTCCTTATATCATTCCATCGATTGATACTGTTATACTTTACGAATTTATAAATAGACGCAAAGCGAAATAGTGTACAGTGAACTCACGTTTCTCGGAGAATACTTTTTTGTTAATTCGCAGCCAGGCATCGGCGTGAAATCCAAATCAGTTTGAAAATAGTGTCGATTCTCGTAACGCGTTTCTATTTTGGCAATTATACAATTGCGTAATAAAGCAACAGTGACAGTTTCGCGAAGCAGTTTAAATAGTCTGTAGCTTCGCATCGATACAAAAATGACTACCGTATTGAACAACATTCGCACGATTTTCCAAAGTTAAATTGCAAACGTACAAATATACATAAAAATTGGTTGTTGATGTGAAACAAATTTCCCTGACACTGTGTTCACTGACAAAATTATATTTAATTAAATGAAAAATGTACTCACTTAGTTTTGGACAGATTCGGATCGCTGGTCTTCCTCTTTTCTCGTAGCTGTCGCTGCAATGAGAACAGACGGAATGATGCACAGCGGCGAATATCAATGGTAAATGCTAAATGAAATTATCCCGGCGCGAAGTTTCATTTCGTTGGAATTTACGCAAAAATAAATATCCCGAGGCCCGGCCTACATTTCTCGTAGTGTAGGTATGTATCTCGAAATTTTAATTTGTTCGTCGAATCATCTAGCTCCACGCAACGTTCAAACAATTTGATAAAACATATATTCATGCACGCAACATAAGTATAGATGCACAGTTCTTGAATTCTTACCTTGTGGTGTATCCGCTCCTTGTAACTTTCAGACCTGTTTATGTTTGACGTCTTTGGCTTACTGGAAATATTTTGCTGCACCCTAAGTAATCGTAATTAATAAAAGCGTAAATTAATATCTATAACTGAAACCTGGGCTAAGCGACTGTGATAAATGAAATGAAGAACTTTTCTGGCTATCTATTAGTAAAATTCAATCTCTTCTAATCTTAGAAATAAAATCTTCAAATTGATAAGACGTGAACATGATGAATTTTTCAACGGAACAATCTGGATATGACAAATCGTTCTGAGATGCAGGAAATGTAAGTATACGGTTTCAATATAGGAACTGAGAGAGCTAGATTGGTGCGGTTCAAAGGAAATATTCCTTTACGTGGTATCATGCAAATACGAAGAACATACATTTCAGAAATATCTTCCCGCGAGGAAGGATTGTCCATATTATCGGCGTGATCGGGGACTCCACTGTAAGCGGAAATGCGTCCTCTTTCGCTACTACTACGCGCGTTTCCGGCTATGCCGCCCCCGCGATGTTCTCCTGAAAACATGAAACAAACGAACGCATTCATTAATAATTATAATATTTGCCATATCATTCTTTACTACTTATACCTTACGCATCGCACATAAAAATTAACATTTTCATTAACATTTAGGACATTGATCTTGGTTGTTGATGTGAAACAAATTTCCCTGACACTGTGTTCACTGACAAAATTATATTTAATTAAATGAAAAATGTACTCACTTAGTTTTGGACAGATTCGGATCGCTGGTCTTCCTCTTTTCTCGTAGCTGTCGCTGCAATGAGAACAGACGGAATGATGCACAGCGGCGAATATCAATGGTAAATGCTAAATGAAATTATCCCGGCGCGAAGTTTCATTTCGTTGGAATTTACGCAAAAATAAATATCCCGAGGCCCGGCCTACATTTCTCGTAGTGTAGGTATGTATCTCGAAATTTTAATTTGTTCGTCGAATCATCTAGCTCCACGCAACGTTCAAACAATTTGATAAAACATATATTCATGCACGCAACATAAGTATAGATGCACAGTTCTTGAATTCTTACCTTGTGGTGTATCCGCTCCTTGTAACTTTCAGACCTGTTTATGTTTGACGTCTTTGGCTTACTGGAAATATTTTGCTGCACCCTAAGTAATCGTAATTAATAAAAGCGTAAATTAATATCTATAACTGAAACCTGGGCTAAGCGACTGTGATAAATGAAATGAAGAACTTTTCTGGCTATCTATTAGTAAAATTCAATCTCTTCTAATCTTAGAAATAAAATCTTCAAATTGATAAGACGTGAACATGATGAATTTTTCAACGGAACAATCTGGATATGACAAATCGTTCTGAGATGCAGGAAATGTAAGTATACGGTTTCAATATAGGAACTGAGAGAGCTAGATTGGTGCGGTTCAAAGGAAATATTCCTTTACGTGGTATCATGCAAATACGAAGAACATACATTTCAGAAATATCTTCCCGCGAGGAAGGATTGTCCATATTATCGGCGTGATCGGGGACTCCACTGTAAGCGGAAATGCGTCCTCTTTCGCTACTACTACGCGCGTTTCCGGCTATGCCGCCCCCGCGATGTTCTCCTGAAAACATGAAACAAACGAACGCATTCATTAATAATTATAATATTTGCCATATCATTCTTTACTACTTATACCTTACGCATCGCACATAAAAATTAACATTTTCATTAACATTTAGGACATTGATCTCGTTGTATAATTTCAAGATAGTCATCAGAAGAATCGAACTGCCGTTTTCAATACGCGTTACGGCGTCTTTGTTCTTCGCGGCGGCATGAAAAACTCCAACAAGGTGAAAAAATAGTGCATAGTGCAATCGACGTCGCGCAGTTAAATTATTTTGATTCGCACGAATGCACCACAAAAAAAGGCCATCGCAGGTGTGCTGCAGGCGTAGCCTATCGATTTTCGATACTACGCTTCTCTACGCTTATTTTTCCTCCTCAGACAGAATGTTCTTTCGAGACGTAGACAATTTATAAAGAGCAAGCAAAGGTACAAATGAAATACAAATAATGCGTAAATCGCGTATTTTTACCACGGAGCAGTATTTATTTCATGGTACAACTCTAAGGAAAAACGGGAAAATATTTTGAAAGCGATTCGAGAAACGGGCTAAGTTCTTCGCAAACCAGGAAGGAAGATTGATCGACTGACTCATGATACAGAAATATTTGAAGTCGTGATATGAACGTAAACTGGGAATGTAATCAGAATCGTTGAATGTTTTATTTGAAATGTCGAACTTTCGCAATTAAGAAAATTGAACAAGAACAGGTTTCTTCATTTTCTAGAAACGACGCGAATGTAATTAGGATATGTCCAACGAATAGGCATGAGTAATCTTGTTCTGAAATTCATGTACTGCGGTCAGAGTCAGTCCGATCGCGGGTATAATGGAAATGAAGCGAATACCTATCTCGATTCAATTCGTTTATTTGATGCGAGCCGAGCATCGAATTAACATGTCTGGCATTTCTCCAACTATTGGAGACTCATGCGGGGGCTTATCAGGTAAGGAATGCGAGTCAGTAAAAGCAGATCGCGAGACTGCGCGCGCGAATAAGGTAGTTACATTAATCTTGAGCTGAGCAAATACACAAATCAAAATCGAGTTATTACATCTAGAATGCATAATAAATCGATCAAACCAACATAATAACGTCATTTCCTGACTACGTAAATTCAATTAGATAACAAGAAGTCATAGTGTTACTTTTATATTAGTATTATTTGAAATTTTTCAACTGTTTCAAGAATATTACTTATTCGCTTGGTGTAAACGAAAATAAACGATTATCCGATAATACTGTCAGGGCTAAAGGCTATCGTCTACTAATTTAATACCCAACAATGCGAACGTTTACCGGCTTCTCTGTGTCACATATCTCGCCAGCTTCTAAATTATCTAAAAATTCATTGATTTATCATCGTTAACCGCGTAAAGAGTCGGGACCTATCCAGCGGAAATATACAATGCGATCATGGCAGAATCGTCAGTGATTTCATCAAAGACCACAAGACGAATCCGACGTTTCGCTGACTGGAAAAGAAATTGAGTGACTGAACAAATATCCAATGAAGGTTGGTACCGCCTAAAAATATCATCGTAAAAAGAATTGATGCTCTTGAACCCCGTTTAGCAGACAGATAGTTATAGATCGGCAAGGGTAGGTAGAGGTATGCCGAGGGGATGCAACGAGGGAAAAGCTTAAGTCTTGAGTATTTTTAGATAGGGCAATGTAGGCGCGTGTCGCAGAGGCCGGAAACCGTTTTCTGGGCCCCTCCTTCCCATTTTCTTCCTTCGTTGTTGTCGTTGCCGTCTGCGCTCGTTCGCGTCGCGCTATGTCTATCTTATTTTCCTTCCTCTCATCTCTGATGCATTCTTCGCGTATAATCATTGAAACAACAGTTATCAATACAGTTAGTAATAAAATCGATAACGAGAAGCGAAAGTCATTAGATCGAAATACGTATTGGAAGAACTTATCATATTTTCAAATATACTCATGTCAGTAAACCTCGCGGTTTACAAATGTTGTTACACACTGAGATTGACATTGGAGGGAATATCTTAGAAGATGAATAAACGGATTCAAGCCTGAAAGATACTCATAAAAATCCTCAAAGAATATACTCTAAAAGACGGATGTATGTATAGTAAACAGAAGTGCGAGGGTGCGATTTACAATTCAGCTATGGCTCCTACGTGCAATTTCCAGTACGTTCTGATCTAATTTTGTCTAGACATACAAGTATTTGTATAAGCGAAAGGCTCTGTTTATGAGATATACATACAGTCAGAATAATGTAGACATAGAGCGATACTCAACGAGATCCACGAAAAGACGCCGACGTACATTCTGTCTAGTCTCATAGAAGCGAAAATTTATGAACGTATCTGGCAAGTAACAGACGGCAAGAAAATTTCCATCGAGTGGGTCGTTAAAGTCCATTGAATCTCCTTTTTAACTTTGCACGTCGCAACTTCATTATGAAGAAGCATATCACTCTCGAGAATGTCGAACTCCGATATAACTAATAAGAATTTAATCTGTTCTCGAAGTTCTCTGCAGCGATGAAAACTTTTAAATATGGGTTTGCGAAAATCTTCAATAACTAATTGGATTTCTTCAAAATTAAACTGAATAAAGTACGACGCCTCGAATCTTATATAGTACAATGTTGACTTCCGATCTTTTCTCTCCACGTCTCATCCATTTAATCACTGCGAAACGGGAATCGTTGAAACAAACCTGTCTCTTTCTGCACGGCTGCGATTCTCTTCGCTTCGGTGTCGTCAAACTTGCTCGAGGAATCGTTTTCATTATATAAAGCACTGTCGTTCGAGTTATCACAACACGTCGATACGTTTAGACGATCCAAACCGACGATCAAAGCCGTTTCTATGATCTCGCTCGGCTCACGCGTCTTTCTCACAGCGGCGAAGGTCTCCCAAACTTTCCCGGCCAGTGAGCCTTTGCTCATGTGTGGCACCGCGGTTCTCTGCTTGATCGTCTTCAGCTTCGTTTTCTTTGCAACTTTGGCTTTGCTAACTTTCTCGAGCACCACCGGCGAACCTAATCCGATCGATACATTTTTCTAACGTACATCCCGCCCGAATATTTACAAATCCACTTGGAACCCGAGGAATCTCAATCTTATTAAAATATTAATCTCACTTCAATCAATTCAGGAAATTCGTTTGTGAGACATCATATAAAATAGAAGCTTAGTCATAAATGACTTAAATTACAGCTCTTATCAGACTTCCGTGATTATTTTACGATTAAAACAAATTTCGACTGCTCTCATTGACGCATTAGTTATTTACAAAAATCTTTAATACAATTCATTTAAAATTTTATACCCAGTGTACAATTATGAAATCAATACACACAAAATAGTCCAGCTGCTTTTTTTCTCTATTTCTTAACGTTCTGACAAGATGTAAAATATCTCATCGTAAAATATTGCTACCGATATTATAATTAAAAATCAGGAATCCTTCCGTTCCGAGCAGATTATTAGATATTCGCGCGATCTTTACCGTCACCCTTCAGCTTCCGATTGAATCTGTTCCTGCATCTTTCCGAGGAAAGTCTGAAGCTAGTGAAGCTAGCGATCAGGGGTGAGGGGCTGCTAGTCGTTGAATAAGGGTTGCAGTTCGGTTCCCCCTCCAAGGGGTCGCGCAACTGTTGCACCTCGACCATGTGCACACCTCGATGCTCCCCACGACCCGGCGGGAAGACGGAAAGGAACAAAAATAACGTCGGGGTTGTTCGGGGGCTTTCCTCTACTTCTCGCGGCGACAACCGAACTGACACTAATTTCCCTCGATGCCGGCCGCCGCTCTCGCTTCTTTTCCGCGTAGTCTGCCGCACGGTTTCCGGTTAGACCCCACCAGTTCGCTCCCCCGCTCGTTTTACAACTACGTACGCGCGTACGTTTACACGCACGCACGGGGTGTGCGTGTGATCCTGATTTTCGTAGCCCTCCGGTCGAAACCCTCGGGTAGTACCAAGGACGATCCTCGCGCGTTCAAGATATTGATGTGCTTAAAGTCGCTCTTAAAGGGTAGCTTTCCCTTGCCTGGCGACCTCTCTACTATCTCCTCTCAGAATCTCTAGATACCAGTTGTCAGATTTCATCTGTGTACAGTTTGCCTGCGTGTTCCAGAGGGGATAAAATCGCTGATGAAGCGAATATCGTTCGGGAAATTCTCTTTAGGAATTCGAGAGGTCTTCTTTCCTTGGTTTTATACAGAACAATGAACGTCTGATTTAAAAAAGTTATAGTAAAAGATGAAACTTCGTAAATTATGCATAAATTTCACGCGAGTTCATTCGATAAAAAATTATTGCTACACCCTGTAGATGAATAACGAGGTTTTGGATTTGTTCGCGGTTTCCTCTCCGTTCTTCCTTCCTTCCTCTACTACTTATTCATCAATTCAGTAGGAAATAGCGTAGTAGGCAACGGACACAATACGTTTTGCGAAACTTCCTTATCACAAATGGCGATTATAATGTAACAACGCTGCGCGATAAAAACCACCTACATTCGCTGCCCCGGGCATATGTGTTCGATATATTTCAACATTGACACTGTCCCCTTTAATCTTTCGTTACGAAGTGTTAAACAAAACTAAGATACTTTATTAATATTCATCGCCTGATGAAATCACCGCTTTTAATAGAATCACTGTGACTGCAGAATACGTCAAACCACTTTTACATGGATGACTATATTCTTTAAAAACACATAGATATGAACCTAAATATGTATATATTGTGACGAAGGAAAAAATGTTATCGGAACAGTATGTTATCAACTGAAAAGGCTGAGAGGAGGATGTTGATAAGGAGCACCGAAGATAATAAATTGTTCCTGTCGAATATTTTAAATAGAAACTTTCACACAAATATGAACACTCCTTTTGACACTGATTATCCTTCGGGTAAGAAGGAAAATACAACTATCTGCTTAATACAGATACTCGGTGATTCCAACGAAGCAAACACTCGCTTAACCCGTGCTCGTCAAGAAACGACTACGCTCAAAATGAAGACAGTAAACTTCAAGAGATAGCTGATAATGTGAACAAAAGAGAAAAAGACTGCAGTCTCGCTTGCGTAAATCAGTACGTATGCGTAATTATGACTGACTATAGAAGTGTAATACACAACAAAATATTTACTGATTATCGCTAAATATTAGTGGGACTTAAAATTGTACTTTGCCTAGTTTTGTCACATTTCAGAGAGTTGTAATAAATAACAGGTGTCGGAAAGGGGAACAAGTAGTAAAAAGCTGCTTGTGGGATATCGTGTATACAGTACAGATTTTTTGTTTTTAAGAAAGATATTAAAATTAATCATACTCAATGTGGCATTGTATTTTTCCTTAAGTGAATAATATGGGTGGCAGTGTTCTTATCTTACATGTGAAACGACACGATTTTTTAACTTCGCGTAGATTATTAGACGTGAATAATAAATGTATTGCTACGTACACAAATCTACAAAAATCAAGGTTCGTTTTATGCGGAATAATAAATATGTGTTATACACAAAGCATTGCCACCCATACTATTTGCACGTTAAAAATTTGAAGCAATAGACTTACCATTTTCTCCATCAGTCAGCGCACCACAATCATCCTCGCTCCTCCTAATCCTATCTGTAACAATAAAATATTTTCCAAAATAGATTAGACATTTTACGTAGACAAAACAGAGATTTATAACTTATAAGATAACAGTTTAATTATTTACCATGAAGCATATGATTTTGGGGGTGATGATGATGATGGGATGATGGTGGTTTTCTTTCAGGCCTAATACGCTCCATCAATTTACTTATACGATCGTTGCCTTTTTCCTTCCTCACCAGCGGTCCTGGACAATTTTCTTCTACCACACGAACACACTGACGATGAACACTTAGTGAACAATCTGTAACTAATATTATCTCCGTTAATTGATAATTTCATTATATATGTACGTATGTGTGTATAATTGAACGTACCACTACACAAATATCCTTGGGGTCCAATTCCGCCAATGATGAGTTGACAGTGATTGCAGTAAGTGATAGTAAAGTATTGATGAGCTACAAAATGATGACCCCTGATTGTCATTTTCCTTGTTTTCCCCGTGAGCAAGCGTGCTTTCAGATTCGACTTATCTTTCGCAACGAAAGTAGGTACTCGATCGAGCGACACTGGTCGGACTTGGAAAATTTTTGTTAATATTGTCGCTAGACCAGCCGCTGTTGTAAATTGTCGCAAGTCTACGTGCTCTTTATCAATATCTTCTCTGGAATGTTACATGGAGAGCAATTAAATACCGAACGTTGCTAAATAAATTACAAATACAAATATTATTTTGACTGAAAATACTAACAAATAAGGCTCCATTTTAGGTAAGAGGTATGTTTCAATGATTTTCGTTTCTCGCGCCTTGTCAGATCCACTTTCATCCAGTTGAGCATCGCTTGGACCGAATAACGTGCCCAATCCGGCGGTTCTCTTTTGTTGAAAGTCTGCAAGTTGCTCGTTAAGTTCTTCCTTCGCACGCGTACGTGCTTTCCAAAAGATCTGAGAGGAACAGAACCTATCGTATAATCGTTACTAAACAGATATTACCGTGACAGTGAAGTACATACTTTTCGTAAAATCTCTTCTTTATCGAATTCCTTCAAAAGGACATCATCTATTTCGTGTGCTACGTTTTCGTCTACATTATGCAGACGAAGAGGCTGTGTAAGAAAAACTCCAGTTAAACACAATTCTCTGTTTATTAAAAATAGCATATGTACGTTTCTGTTTATTACTTACTGCACCAGGTACTAAAAAACTAGAATGAATTTCGTATGCCCACTTTCTCATTTCCTTTGCATTACCTTCTTTGTACAAATCGGTTATTAAATAGAACAGCTGAAATAATTTAAAAATGTTATCAGAATGTTAGAAACATTGAAATAATACGTTCTACTATGCGATGCTTACCAGACTGGAGGGATCACTGTTTGATAAAACGTAATTAATAAATACAGCAAGATGCGCATGATGTCCCCATAATCGAGATAGTGATTTAAATGGACCATGATCTTCCAACTGTCCCTACGACAATAATCAATTAAATAGCGGTATTCAATTTTACTAATAAGAAGTGAGGAGAGGAGAAGAGTTAATACGAGACTCACAACTTCCTGATCGCTCATATCATCATCTTCCATCGACATGATAGGCTGCTGTAATGTTGGTAATCCAGGGATACTGTCATTTAATATCGTCTAAACCCGAAGGAACAACATATGAGTAACAATCACTTGGTAATTGTAGCTGATATAAAAATGCTTACATCGTTCATAGTTGAATTGGAAGTATCGTTTCCTGGACTAGCAACCGGATACGGTGGAGGTGGAGTTCCTGGAGGTGTGATATGAGGTAATTCGTCAATATCGATGTCGCTATGTCTTATATGCCTCGGAGGGGAAAGATCGTGCATTGATTCCGATGCTATTAAACGTCTACTAGCTTCTGATGGAGATATAGTTGTTGTTCCCAATTGTTCCGGGCTAGATTTTGTTCGCTGATGCTTATTGAGCGAATTCGAGGAACCCAAATTCGCACCTTGTGAAAGCTATAAAAAGATATAAACATTTACTCAACCAACGATCGGTGACAAAGAGATTCGCTGTTAGACTTTGACTACAAAAATTCCATTAAATGCAGAAACGATAGAACAATATGCAACACATTATACAAAAATGCAATACGAGTGTATGTGTACTATACATATATTTATTTACACGTGTAGAAAGTACTAAACAATGCAAACGTAACAACAGAAATAAAAATACATTTCTATCAAACAAATGTTCAGAAGTATGTACGGAGGGACAACACATTTATTAAATCACAGGAACCATATATCGTACTCAATCATACTCAAAATGTGCATTACTCGATCAAATATACTATTCAAGTACGAACAGTAAACAAATACAGTTTCTGTAATATAATATTCGTTGTGACTCTTTGGTATAGCTTCACATAAAATAAGGACGTTCACTAATGATGCAGAACAAAGTATCAAAAAACATGGATCATTCAATTTCGTATTATAATTATAACTAGATAGAATGTAACCGTAGATATCAAAGTCCTATTCTTGAAACAAGAGTATGTAATTCCTCTTTCAATCTCGTATTAAAGATGTGTGTAAATTATCACGTAATACCTTCATCGTGTCATGCAATTTATATAAATTGTTTATTTTAATGACTTAGCGATTAGACTACTTACAGAGTTAGGTATGCCATGACTGGTGGTTGAGGGCGTTAAATGAGTCAACAGATGACGTTCCAGCTCCAACTGGGCTACGTTGTGCGTGTTTGTAGTAGGCGGAGGTCTGGGAGGCAATGGTGGCGGAGACAGACTTTGCATGGACAGGGATTTACGAGACGGTAGAGGCGGTGGTACATCACCACTGCTACTACTCAAAGGTGAATAATAACCCGGGGAACACGAGGTGTTTGTTACCAACGAGCAAAGCTGTAAGACACAACAAAAGCTGGTTAGATAACGTTAGCGAAAGCTTAAATACATCCCTATATGACTGAGTTTGAAGACGAAATTGCGATACAAAAGCACACATTATATAAAAAAAAATCTCTTTGTATAGGTCCGAAGAAAGTACATGTACAACAGCAGAAAATAAATCGTATTACTTATCCTTAATTATTATTACATGTATATACACGATATCAAGTTACCGTACTACTGTATGATAAAAGATTTATATTAAATTTTTAATTATTATGCCTTCTATTTATAAACATCTTAATAATAATCATGCCGAGCAGTAACATCCACTGGAATTGTCAAACATTGATATAAAAGCAAGCACAAGAAAAATTATAAATGTATAGGGACATAAGAAATGTTAATGAACGTAAGCGTCAAAGCAAACTCACATCTTATGCAAAAGATCATGGAGAATATAACTGATAATGCAATAATTATAATATATGTATAATTTGTAAACAGCTAGATGTTACTAAAGATCAAATTGATGCAGGATATTAGTGCGATATAGAGAACTGTTTAAAGTAACACGAGCATCTTGATAAAGCAACATTATGGGGAAGAATCAGACCTGTTCATTGGTAGTAATCGTGGCTAGCTGTTCCTGCAGGGTGCGAACTCTTCTTTCAGCACCCGCCAATTCCGCTTGCACTGCCACGACGTTAACATTACTGCTACCAGTGCTGGCTTTTGCAAGTTCGCTACGGAGCTTATCAACGTAGCTTTGTTCCTTCTCCAACATCAGCTGGAATGTATGAGCGCGTTCAGTTTCCAGTTGCCGCAATTTCTCGTGCTGCAATACGAATCAAATTTTTTATAAACGTGTGCATACATTTTTTTATTGTACCTTCGGGAAAAATATCGACTTACGTCAACGGGCTGAGGACCGGTGATACGCGCGTTGCAGGAACCGGCCGCCGGTGCAGTTGACGCTCTGTGCAAGGAAGTAGCTGGCTGCGAGGGTGACACCATTGTGGTGCCGGCTGACAAACTAACTGGCCGTTGATGCTGACCGACCTGTAGCCCCGTCGTCGCCGAGCTGCTCGTCCCGACTGGCTTCTGCTGCACCGTCAGTACCACCTGCGTCGAAGCTGCAACCAAGAGTTCAAGGACGACGATTAGTCACCTTTCGCATACCTTCGCCGGTCCTTCCCCCGCGTTTGACCCTACGCTGCATCTTCCTTTTGTGAACCGCTTCAACGAACACAGCTCGTTGTATTTTCGTTCAAAACGATTCCAACTTCCAAATTGCTCTAATCCGCATATGATAAACGTTAAATATCATAATTAAAATACGATTTTTTATGCATTTCGATAACGGTATTATTAATCGTTATTAACGATATTTAACGATATACGGATTTTTAATCGTTAAATGTTAGGTACACCTTCGAAAGAAGAAAATCCCACTTCTCTAGATTTTTATCAAGAATGACAATGCTAGATAAATAAGATATACATGTCGCTTGAATAGAATAATATTTACTAGCAACTATTTAGTAACTATGAATCTATTACAGTTGCACCGTCGGTGACTCATTCCTACGCTCAGCTGAGAAATACGTATGTATCTACATATGACGTTATCCTCCTTTTTTCTAATTCTGGAAACGTGTATCCGCGTGCCAAAAGACCAATTAGCGAGAACTGGCAGAACGCACATGCAAACTCGGAACGGCTGATCGATTTCGAAAACACGGTGTATCATGGAATCTTCTCCTCAAAGTTATTACCCACACGAGCTCAACAAGAATGCGCGAAACTTGATAAATATTTGCATTTTTTAAGAAACCGAGATATATAAATATTATTCGCGCGAACGTGCAGCTCCACACAATTTGTAATAAACGTAATTTTCCCTGTTTCTTCACCGCGAAGAATCGTGCAAGAAATAACTGGAATTTCAACAACGTAGAGTGAAAAGCTCAATTTAAAAAGAATCAAGCTTCACATCTGAAAAAAAAATTACATAATTGCAAGAATCGCAAATGTTTTAGAAGCAGTTGAGAATACCGGAGTACGGTTTCGCACGAGCCTTCTTCCAGGCTTGCCTCAGGTCGTACGTGGTTCGCGTCTTCATGTAGAATGTAGAAACACAGATTCGGGTAAAAACGCGCAGTTGGAACCGATAGACGATCCTGTCGGATTCAGTTTTCGTCTTGGTTCATTGACAAATGTACCGCGGGCAATAACCACGCGCCGACCGAGACCCACGTCGTCTGTGAAACTGCGTAAAACGATCGTCGGTCGAGGCGATCCGAGGAGTAGTAAGACATTCGTACCAAGAATCTTGGATCCAGGTGTGTGTATTAATATGAATGACGAGATTCTTATGTTTACACGCGGTTACGACTAATCTTTGGCAGTCATTTTACTATACCTTGACAAATCCATTCTAATATTATCCTGCGCATTTCGAATAAAAATTTCGATCCGTGTAGTTACTAAGAAATTACTAAGGAAGAAGAAGAGAAGAGTTACGATATTTTCCTATTTGAATAATGTATGTTTTCTGCTTGGTTCATTTCTTAGAAAAAGAAAATCTTCATTCTGCTGTAAGGAATTATGTTAACAAAGCAATTATACCTCGTTTAACAAGAAAACTGTTTCAATCTGTTTGAGAATTCAAGAAAAGATAAAGAGAACTATTCGTGATACTGAATGTCTACTTTGAATACGACCAATGTCCTTGTACAGAGAAAAATTAGAATACTGCCTTTGGGAAACCCCGAAAGAACGATTGAGTCAGCTGTAAGTGGCCTTAACTGGCACTGGTTTTAGCCTTATTGTATGCACGTTGCATACCTTTCCTCGTAAGACTGATTTTACTTATCTTTGCATAATGATCTTCTTCTCTTTGCATTCTAATCTATAATCTCTACATGTTCCTTCCCAATTCAATATTCGCAATCTTATAGAGTGATTTGTAAATTAATATCAGTCAGTTACAAGTCATCAGAAAAATATTATGAAAAAGAAGAAGCAACGCATATAAATGAGATCATCGTTGTATTTATTGAAAAATTTTTCACTGTTGAAAGGATTTGAAATATTCATGAACCTAGCGAAATCTGAATATGCGCACAAGCGTCTTATGAAATGATCAAGTAGGACGTTTGGAAAGTTATTAAATTTGGACGCAATACACTACTTCACGTTCAAGGTGCTCAAGTGTTTCACGTCATATACAAAGGTCTTTTATATGTTCCAAATGAATCATTATTAACTCACTAAAACTATCGGTGGATATCCTGGACAAAAGAGAGTCAATACAACTCTTTAATTAATACCTCCCATTATATCTTTCAATTATCTACTAAGCACATCTACCGTATGTATAAAGGAAAATACAGAACTGATTTTCTTCTTAGAGAATTTATATCTATCCTATCCATATCTCTAATAACTAATCGCAGTGCGATAAAACAAGCCAGATAACAACCTGAAATGATTCTCGTCGCGATGGTTTTACGAATTTTCAGAAATTACTGCACGGTTAAAAGCCACGATGGAGGATGTGCCTGTTCGTACTCATTGTGTTTTACCTGAACAGTTAGATGGAGAAAGACAGACTCTACGAACGGTCACCGCTACTTATAAACTCGCATGCTTACATCACTGAAAGCGCGTCGTCCGCATAAACTTCGTTTATGTTGATGTGTCCGACGTAAAGCCGCCGACAATCACTCGCAATCTTTATAAATGTCTTCTTTCGTAGATACGACAATCTTGGCTATTTTTCTTCCTATTCTATGATGTATGAACATCGTCGCTTGCGCGTCGCTACGCATCGATATTTGCAAAAGTAATTGTTTATTCAATTTATAAAACAGAATAAACTGAAGAACTTTGAAGATTAATAGAGACGTCAATAATTTCTGACTACTCTGAGAGAAATTCCGTCAATCGCGAAGCTTAAAACCTTCTGTCCGTGATTGAAATTTCAAATCAAACTGCATTGTCTAACCGGATCGATGAGTTTTACGGTTTAATTTCGATAAAAGCTTGCCAGACATGGAACAAGCACTGACAGGTTTTGATCAAGTACCAGCATGCACATGAAAAATTGATAGGCAATATGAGACTTGTCTGGTTCTACTTTTCAATCAATTCAATCGAAAGGACGTTCAATTTTATTTTATACAGAAAACCAATTATAGAAATAAAATCAATTTTGTGCAGTACGATAACTTGTTATTTATTTTTTGGTATGTAAGCAACTAATGCTTTCATTATTTAAAAAGGGAAAAATAGTTCCCATGTTCCCTTTAAGGTTCATATATATGTTCTCCCCTTAGTGCATAACATCTACTTCATCTGCTTTTATAAAAGGCGGGTTAACGGCCTATAGTACGGTAGATTAAAGCACACGCACCCCTTGTGATTATCAACGATATATAAGAATAGCTCGCAAAGTATGAAGCACCCCATGTGCTCTTACGTTGGAACCTCTCTATACGAGAATGCTCAATCGACAAGAAAATTCTACCGCGAGAAAAAAGTGTTTCTCCCCTAATGTTCACTGAACAAATATCCAACCAAGTTGGGAAATTGTTATAACAAAATAAAATAAGAATTAATAACAAAGAGAGAAAGAGAATAAGGAGGTGCCGCATAACTATTTAATAAAGCTTGAAATTGACTGTAATTTATATAGCATTAGATTTTGGACGGTCTCTTTAGCGCAAAGACATTTATTCCGTCTCAATGCCAAATGACATGCTTTGGAATTAAAAGAGAAAAGGAGAAAAAAGAGGTCGTAGAAAAGAAAGAAAGTATGTAAACTTACACTTTATGAGCTGTACAACATCCGTATGCGTGGACTGCATTACATTCATGCCGTTAACCTGGAAATACCAATCACGGTTATAAATAGTGAAAATACATGGTGGCAGGTACACACGTTTTGCAAACAAGTGTAATTGAAATTCTAACAAGCTGTACATTGCAATTGATTGGTTGAAATTCTACGGAGACGATGGATCTCAGTTTATCATTATAATTTACGCTTTATTGCCAGTTACTCGTAAGTAATATTTGTGCGATAACTTTTATTTCAAATAGGCTCACCTTGATGATTTTGTCGCCCGCGTGAAGGCCAGCTCTCGCAGCTGCACCGCCTACAATGCATCATCATTGCATTTTTAGATCGTTTTTTACGAGACAACCATTAGAACAATATACCAACGATACAAAAATATTCATTCTCTTAATTAGAATCTTGTTTATCTTTTCATTAATCTTTCTCATTAGTTCCGGTTCTGAAGACATTACTCATAAATTCGTTCACGTTAAAATTGATACCGCTACGAAGTTATCAAAAATTTTACCAAGAGTAGAATATGTAAGTGAATGTGACTAGCTTCTGTGATATTCAAATTTAATATACATGGTATACTTTTCTAATTCCTCTGCAGAGTTTGAATAAAGTAAATAATAATGTAAATTGTGCCGCATAACTATTTAATAAAGCTTGAAATTGACTGTAATTTATATAGCATTAGATTTTGGACGGTCTCTTTAGCGCAAAGACATTTATTCCGTCTCAATGCCAAATGACATGCTTTGGAATTAAAAGAGAAAAGGAGAAAAAAGAGGTCGTAGAAAAGAAAGAAAGTATGTAAACTTACACTTTATGAGCTGTACAACATCCGTATGCGTGGACTGCATTACATTCATGCCGTTAACCTGGAAATACCAATCACGGTTATAAATAGTGAAAATACATGGTGGCAGGTACACACGTTTTGCAAACAAGTGTAATTGAAATTCTAACAAGCTGTACATTGCAATTGATTGGTTGAAATTCTACGGAGACGATGGATCTCAGTTTATCATTATAATTTACGCTTTATTGCCAGTTACTCGTAAGTAATATTTGTGCGATAACTTTTATTTCAAATAGGCTCACCTTGATGATTTTGTCGCCCGCGTGAAGGCCAGCTCTCGCAGCTGCACCGCCTACAATGCATCATCATTGCATTTTTAGATCGTTTTTTACGAGACAACCATTAGAACAATATACCAACGATACAAAAATATTCATTCTCTTAATTAGAATCTTGTTTATCTTTTCATTAATCTTTCTCATTAGTTCCGGTTCTGAAGACATTACTCATAAATTCGTTCACGTTAAAATTGATACCGCTACGAAGTTATCAAAAATTTTACCAAGAGTAGAATATGTAAGTGAATGTGACTAGCTTCTGTGATATTCAAATTTAATATACATGGTATACTTTTCTAATTCCTCTGCAGAGTTTGAATAAAGTAAATAATAATGTAAATACGTTGTATCTGGTGAGCCATTAATTTCATAATCAAAATTTACGATAAATATTGTTTTGCACTCTGCATCAAAGTTTGTAAAGTTGCGACCACCGTGTTAAATATTTAAATGTAACGCAATAAAATGAGATAACTTTATGTACGTTAGGACAATTAGTGCTATAGTAATTAGTAGTACTATGAATACAGCGCAACTTCTCAGCATTAACATTGTACGAGGAATTTACTTGTGCAACTTTAGAGGCAAGGTAGTGATCATACAGAATAGTGACCACTCATAAAATTTTTACGGGATGCTAAGAACCAAGGAAAGAGAGATTATGTAAACAAATATTATTAACACTACTGTCACAGGATTGAATAAAGCAAATAACTCTACGCTTGGTGATTATAAATTAAAATAGAATGCATCCACCTTACATAACACCTCGAATGGCCAGCAACATTGAATACCTTATAGAACAATAAACTCGTCGACCGTTTCAAGCTAATTTCCCTCGTTGATGAACGCGTTGCCACGACTTTAACCCGTTTCGTACGAGAAAACAACCGCTAAAATTCTGATAACAATGGTAACACACCTTCCTTCACAGATTGAACATAGACGGGGTTATCGCCGGAGACTTTCATCCCGTATCCGGCCTCATCCTTGTAGACGACGAGGGTGGCGACGGGTGCTGGTTCGACAGTTCCACCCCCGGTGGCGCTTCCGCCACCCCCGACGCTGCGACGCAACGCCGCCGTTCCATTCATCCCTCCTTCGATCTCCGCCTGGCCTCCCCTCACCTCTGCCCCGGCTGCAACGCGACTGTATGACCTGCAACCAAAACGAAATAGATAATGTTAATTTCCTGTGCCTTTTTATTCATTTTTGCAGCAGCTAAATTATCACGCTGTCCCTGTGACAATTGCGCAAACGGATATTTCTAATACATACAAACTGTAAGCTCAAAAATATAAATACATATGTATAATTATAAGTTGATAAAGGCATAGATGAAAAATGCGTCGACATCGATTAGTTACTAATCTTCAAATGTTTCTGTTCAATTCGTTTTCTTATAATTTGAACTCTTGTTTAAAACGAGAAAGAAAGTAGAGGAAAATATCAAATTCTTTTATTCTAATTTAAATAACTTTCAAAGAGAAAATAGAGACTCTGCACGGAGAAGAGAAACGGAGGGGAAATATAGCTAAACATCGATTTTGTATTTAAACAGGATCGAAATGGACATCATGTGAGGCTTATGGTATTCTAAATGTGTTGTCTAGGAGTATTTTGACAATATGTAAAACGGCAGCTTTACCAATTAGATACATTAGCTATTCTATGATACAGCAATTCAGAGGATAAATTAATCAAAGAACTAGAAGAATTTACGAAATGATGCAGAACATTGAAAATGTTCTTTTAGAATGTAAAACCGCCTCTTCAAACTCGATTCTTTCTACTGACGTTACATAATTGTTGCTGAATCAAGGATTTTAATGGCATTTCACTTGTAACATTGCATGAAAGTTGTCCTGATGAAATGATTTGAGATACGTCAAAGCCTTCGTATTTTCCGGCATAGGAAATACATTAATTTAATTATTAAGTTATAATTGAAGACTATAACGTGCACGGATTAAAACAATTGTTGTGTTTTGAAGAATAATCAGTTCTTAACGAATGCAGGATGTTTGATCACTCACCGCATACGAAGCTAATAAATAATCGTGTCCCCTTATCAACGGGATTATGTCTGTCGTTGCCGTGTACTTTCAAGAGCTCTTAAGCATATACTGTAATATTATGTTTATGCTTAATTATTATTTATATTCTCATCGTTTATCACCATGATATTTGCGCATCATGTAATTTTCAAACAATTATTTATTCAACCCGACTTGGGACTCTTATCTCGTTGAATATGTTAACGATATAGCTACTACTGTAATATGTTAACGATATAGCCACTACTATAAAATCTTATCTACAAATGATTAGCAGGAGTTAACAATATCCATCGTATATTCCTCAACATCGCAATTCTTCATAGGAGACCTTTACATAGCGACGTTTATAGTACTTGTGCTTTTACAAACGAAATTCCAAACTCTAATACATACTCTGCCACCTCTTTTATTTCTTCTCTAGCATAAGACGTTCTATTTTTATATGAAAAATCAGTAATCATATCAAGACATATTCGATGGTATACCAGTTATTCTTGAAATAGCACGAGAGTGGCCTACTAGGTGCATATTTAACCCTTATCCGACTGAAATATTTTAAGAACATAGCCAACCCTAATGTATCCAGCAAATGCGATTAAAAGAAGTTTATATTATTATATATATTATACAAGCGATTAATTTGATCTCGAGTAAAAAATGTTTGTATGACATAATAAAATCACGTGAATTATAAACTTTATAATTCTCAGATGTCGTTTACAAGATAGTAATTGTGCATAAATTTTCGTAACATCTCTCTTTTAGATCGGATGTTATTACATACCATCGAAATAAGGTCATTATAACATAAACGATAGAATAATAATTACATTCTCGTTAACGAGGTATGATCTTACTTTAGTTATGTTCTCCTCACAATTATTAAAAAAAAAAACCAATCAATTTCTATTCTAATTAACAAAACAGCTCAAAATGTAAGCCAGTTGTTTTTGATACCCTAAAATCTATTCTAGACTTTTGTATTCTATCCTTTGATTATTTTCATACTTGTATCTCGAAAAAGGAAACCGTTTTATCTTAATTAATAAATAGAACATGGAATGCAAAATACTTGCAATTAAAATGAAAATGGAATGCTTCGCATAAATGCAAACGTAAAACGATGGTAGTAAAAATTGAGTAGTAATTCTATTATAAATAGATAGTAGTAATCGCGTTCAAAGTTCGTAATATTTCTACTTGATTGTCAAAGACGATAATCGCAACAGTGTTTGATTTTGTTTAAAAGTAATCAAAGATAATCAATTCGTAGTTAACAAATCGCTTTCATATTTTAACAGGAATATGTATCATACCTATTCGTGCTTCGTGTCAAACGTGCAACCAAATCCTCTCACGGCAGATTTTCAACAAATCCTACGCAACAATGATATTCCGATCAATTTGCGTGCTTGCTACTGTATTTAAAACCGATATCAGATTATCGGCTTATCGCAGCGGTCTTTCGCCATACTTCTAATGAGACGAGATTAATAAATATCGAACAACACATTTTCATCCCGAATATAAAGGATAACAAAGGGACAATTTGTAAAGAAGAATGGGTTACTTTTTCCTTCCTTTCGTTTAATCTATCGTGATTAGACTTTCATTACCAATGTTGTTGGCATGATTAATTCGCTTATTCGTGTTTCTAAATCATGAGATCTTTTGCGTTAGCCTATTGTAAACAATCAAATTCACGAGTAGGGATTAACATTAGCGTTATTAAAAATGACAATGTCTGGTCGGTTATTAAGGACTGGTCGATTAGGAACTGTTTAACTCTAGACAACAGGACGACGTGTGACAGCGTGAAAGATCGAAAGAATATGTCAGAGAGAAACTAAGAAAGAGTACATGACATCACGTTAATCGATATAACAGGTTAATAGGTCAGTCGGTTCTTACACTCTGCTAAATATGAGAGAACAAAATAAAAAACGGGACAATCGAAGAGAAGAGAAAATAACACGGATATAAGATTTCAAGAATGACTCGCACGCATAGGCGTGCTGAACAGGCCGAGAGTAAATACTATTACCTTTCATTTAATGTATTTCGTAGCGGGACGAATCTTGTACGAAACACCAGCAACGGGGTGGAAGCGCAGCAAAGCGAGATATCACTTCACCTTGGCACTATATTCCACAAGAATTATATCACAATTGTCATAACAAAAGAACACATATGAATATGGCTGGTGACGGGTAATTATTCTGCCTGTAGCACTTTCACGGCACATTTTGAAGCCTCCCGACGATACATGATACATACGCGTGACTATTTAGTAAAAAAGAGGAAGACTATTTCTCTGCTCGTTATGTAAACGTGCACGCACTGTACTTGAACGCGAAGGCACTGATTTTTTTATAAAAATGCACATTCGATAAAATGATAATACACTACTAACAAGTGTCAGCCATCTTGTATTGGAGCGAAGCACGACCCAACGTCCCATAGTGCATCACGACAGCTGCAGGAGTTTGTAGCCAAGTTTATAGTGGCGAGATTGTAGGTAGAAAGAAGAGACGAACCGATTGGCCGACGATTTTAACGATCTCCTGCTCTTATTGGCCATAACTTTATTAGTGAATTTTCTTTCAGTTTCAAATGTATTCTCTTCAGGTTCTGAACGAAATATTATTTAAATTACACTGTCACAATGTTTACATTTAGTGAATTTGAATATAGAAATAAAATAGCTTCGTACAAACCCCGTAGGAAGACAAGTATACTATTTAAATGGACTATTCAACAAGAAAACCTGAAATTGTGCGTCAAGGAAAGTAACAAAAGTAGTGATGTGCATTATTTATTTTAAACACTCGCATGTAATATAAAATAATAGCTACATTTCATGTAACTTTTCTCATAAGTCTATGTACATTCAAACATAAAATTACTTTTATCCATTGTGCATTGTTCATATAATATGTATATTAAATATACAATCACACAAAATCAATCAAACAAATTATGCAGAGCTGTGCTCAGCGTTACGATAATTAAAAACATACTAGATTTAATTGACGTTGAATCGTTTAAAAAAGGATAGAAAAAGTCGTATGGTAAGGTGAGGTCCAAATTAGGACCTCCTATAAAGTAATACTTTGATGGCTTCGACACATCGTGGAACGTAACATAACTAACAACATCTATTTCAAGTTGATCTGTACAGTTTTCAAACGAACATTTCGTCCAAGCTACATTGGACTCTGACGAAAATGTAACACCAACTCCGACCACGTTGTAATTGGTCAATGTTTCCGGTTTTGTTAAAGCAGAGTATAAAATATTCAGATGGATAGACGTTGTTAATTTTGAACAATGTAAACGACCATTAACAAACTGTCCTACTGTAATATTCTGTGGTATTCTATCGAGTAAAATTTGTGCCCAATCAGTAGTATCGTTACTAGAAAAGTTGCCCGACTTGGCAATATAAATGTTATATTGTTCCGTTTGAGTTATATTGAACAACGTATCTTTCATCAAGAGATGCATAGCAAGATTTTGTAATTCCATACAAGATGCTGTGCTGAAATTATTGGTACGTACAGACGTAAAACATTTCAATTTAATGTCTTCCCCAAAAGCGGGTGTATATCTATCGATCTTGTTACATTCACCAGATCTTGTTGCTATAGGTAATGTTAAATAGCTATTTGTTTTATTAAAACTGATGTATCTAGTTTCCACTTTGTCGGTCTTGTTTGTCTTTAAAGTACCGATCATCAGTGGTTTTCCCATGATGTAACCGGGATTACCACTCAAAGAAAAACTTTCTTCTTTATTTAATTCTGCCCATTCGTAACTCACTTCGAATTGCTGGTAAAAACTTCGGGAAACATTACCTATCTTGAAATATACGTCGATACTGTTGATTCCCATAGAACCATTGTGGACAATCAAGTATTTTACACCCGTTACGATATTAAAACAAGTTCCATTTAAACAAGCACCTAATGCAGTACGATTACTGCACATTGTCCAAGAATTTTTACAATAATGACTATTTAATGTTAAACATACATTTCTAGGGCAAACCTACGAATGAAAAATTTGGATGTTATCATTTTATAATGGAAAAGAAATCTGATTTTTTTATATACCTGATCCTCCGTTTGAATATAAACTTTGCTTAACAAATGTGGAGATGTTATGACTGTAAAATTATTAAATGCACTGGGGAACAAAAACTTATTAATATCAGTTAAATCGGCTTGTAAACATTGATCTTTCCATTCCCGAAGATACTTCAAAGTTTTCTTAAAGCCACACAATTCCGTAAATCCAGATTGTACTAACTCTGTATGAAAAAATGTAAGCCTTAAAATGATAGCCTTATTAAAATCACATATAATAATTCATACCAAGAGGTTGAACGTAATTGTTGTTCATTATCCATAGAATGTCATCATCTTTATAACGACTAGAAGTATTATATTCAGGTACATGTAATTGGTCTTTCCATTTCCAATTCAGTCTATTTGAATTTATTGCTTCCCTTAAATCCTCTACAGATTTGATATCCTATACGTAAATAAACGAGAAGTTAGCTAGAACGAACATTACGACGCTAGAACGCATTTAAAATGCATACCAATTTATTGTTAACACTGTAAGTGGGCGGAAGATTATCATATAAAATACAAAAGAGATTATTTGCCAATTTTTCAAGTATGAATGGAGTATTGTTTCGTTGTATAAAATTTCTGTTGTAACAATAACGTTTGTCAAATAATTCTGCTTGGTGATTTTCACAGCGTGAGAACACTGTTAACTGCAAGTCGTTGCAATCTCTGTCACAACAACAATTGATGTTACAGGATGACAGCTATGCGAGTAAAAATTTATATTTTAATATCATGTTATGTTTCGTATTAAGCATAAAATACTGTAGAGTGCAAACTTACTGTTAAATCACATTCGCATACATCGGAATTTATTCTCTGTACGTGTTCATTTCTTGTTTCATTATCATGCTTAATTTTAAGAGGCACTTGCGTAGTTGTCGTTTGTATTTTAGGTGTTTGTGTTGGATGCACAGAACTGCTTGCGTTACTCGTATCATAAATACTTTCAGTAGTACTAGCAGCTTCTTCTAAAACATCTTTCTCTGATAATTCATCACATTCTGTTTCATTCGCACATGTGAATATATCTTCAAGTTTCTTTGCATGTACTAACTGATTCAATAAAAGCCAAGAGAACAATAGTACAAATGCTGTTCTAAGCATGTTGACTACTTTATATTGTACACTTCGGAATATATTCATTAATAAAACTTTCAGTCCATTTTTTAATATTACAATGCTTTTTGCAGTCACAAGTGACATCCATATTTCTCAAAATTTTTTGTCAATATATGTAATTCAATCTGAACTGTGCCCATACTTTCTGTAAGTAATTCAAATCTGTCTAAAGGATTAACTAAAACATTCGGCGATTTTAATTGTAAAGTTATCCCCAGAAATTTGTCTCGTAATCTATCCTTCCAACTGCCTATAAATTAAGAATAAACCATGTACATCTGGATAAAATCAAGTGCTTTATTTACTGAGAAGATGTTGAATTTACCAATAGGCTTCCAAGTATGACATTCTATGAAATGTTCTCCTGGGGACAAAGGAATATTACAAATACCATAAGATCCAAATAATACTCTCCCATGTACATCTCTACAAAATACTTGTAATAAAAGTTTTGGTGAGTTTTGGAGGGTTTTTGTTGTATAATGTAGATCTATGGGATGATCCCAAACTGGCTCATTGGTGTATAAATCACAGCTCTCTTGAGTTTGTCCTTCTTCGCATCCAGTTAAAACTTTCCAACCATTACCTTATGAAAATAATACAACAAAGAACAATCGTAATAGTAAATTAAAAACGAGATAATAATAAACTTAAACGAGATAATAATATTATTACCGGCATGAAAACTCCACTTGCATAAAAGTCGTGGCTGTTTAAAATCTTTTGCAGACGAAATCCGACCAATTATATGCAATTCAGCCATTCCATAAGATCATATCATTTTTTATTGAATATCATAATTGATTGGAACTATGAAGAAGTAATCTGTTGTGTATAAACATACTTTAGAGTCGACGTTGCAGTAATTATTGTCACGTTCCAAAGTAATACGTGCCTTATTCTTCATATGCAGTTGTTAGAAAAATATGATAGACCATAATAATCTTTGTTGTGATCTTATCAAACAACTGGAAACAAATGTAACAATCTTTGAATCATATACAGTCATTACGATCATTACAGAAGCATCAAATGCGTTTATATGTACACATATACGTAACGTGGCGACGCCAAGTTAATGACTTTGCTGGACTTTACTTATTGATTAGATTCTTTCACATTCTTTCTTTCGTCTGGTTCCTGCTTCTCAAATAATTTTTGTCGTTATTTAATGGAATATTATTCAGTAGCACTCGCGTCGACAATGTGAAAATATCAACAATTTTGAACTTTTTACAAGTATTCATTATACATGCTAACTGGGATCGCTACACGCCCACTCGTAAAGTTCAAAAATTTCAGACACTCTATATACTATTTTTTTCAATATATATAATTATCACGTTTTCTCGTTTAAAGTAGCATATATTATTTAAACATCTATCAAGTATTAAAACTTACGGACTTTTGCCACAAAAGATTTCGAAAGTACTTTGTTATATGCCCCAATCATTTCATATTTTATTTCAACGGTGTACATGTAACTATTTTTCAAAAAGGAAATTGCCATTAGGAGAGAAAGTTAATTAAAAGTTACCCAATAGTTAATAATTGGGAATCGATTTCACGCTATCCATACTGCATCAAATCGAATGTAATGCAGAAACAGGTTACGTTCCCTAAGTGACATTTCATCTCATTGTCAGTTGCTTCTGCTTTATCTGTTTAATTGTTTCACTGTTTATATTTTTTATAACACAAATATAACATAAATGGAAGCTAAGCCAAAAAGTGAACATCTATTAGAATTAAAAGGTGATAAGACTATTAATTCTCTAACTTGTAATTAAAGAAGAAAATATAAAAATTCGGCTGTATATTGATTTTAGTTATGAGATTAACAAGGCCCCTTCTTGCTAGTCCTGTGGTTGTCACTTGTGATTCAACAGACCTCCCTGGCAATACTTTAAATAATGAGCTGAAGAATGATTGTACTAGCTTGCAAGGAATGGAAACACTTGCAATAGGGCAATTCATGGTTTTACCACAAAGCTTTGGGTATGTGCAAATATATAAAATGTAAATTCAATACTGAAATTTCATGTATGTATTTTCAGGAACATTTACTTGGGTGAGATATTCTCAAGTTATCTTTGTGTACATAATGGTAGCAGTCAGCAAGTAAAGAATGTCACTGTTAAGGTAATTTAGTAATGGAAGAATAAAATACATAAAGCATAATTATTACTTGTAATTAACAGTTGACGTACTTTACATCATAGGCAGATCTACAAACAAGCACCCAAATTATTTCTCTTTGCGGTAGTAATACAGAACTAAAAGATTTGGCACCTGACCATACGGTTGATGAAGTGATACATCATGAAGTGAAAGAAATAGGGACACACATGTAAGAATACATGTTCGGATGCGTTGCTCTTATAATTAATCAACGTACATCTTTTCAGATTAGTATGCGAAGTGATTTATACTCCTGCAAGTTTAGGTAGCACACCACAGTCATTTAGAAAATATTTTAAATTTCAAGTTGTAAAACCATTGGACGTTAAAACGAAGTTTTACAATGCAGAGGTAAACATGTAATTTGTTCGCTTAAGAAGCGTGTTCAATTATAATTTTATATTACGTTCACCATTTTTTCATATTTTCTTCAAGTCAGACGAAGTGTATCTTGAAGCACAAATACAGAATCTAACAGCAGGGCCTATATGTTTAGAAAAAGTTTCACTTGAATCATCTCATTTATTTAGTGGTGAGTTTATTTGTAATTAGGTTTCATTCATAATTAGTGTGAGTAACAATTAATTTCATAATTTTTTAGTGTCAACACTAAATACAAACGAGAAGGGAGATTCTATTTACGGATTAGTGAACATATTGGATACAGATTGTAGTAGACAGTATTTGTATTGCCTAAAACCCCAACTAAGTCTATTAAAAGATCCGAAAATGATGCATAATGCAACTAATATAGGGAAATTGGATATAGTGTGGAGGAGTAACTTGGGAGAAAGAGGAAGATTACAAACAAGTCAGTTACAAAGGATGGTTCGTTGAGGCGTTCATTAAACTATTTCCAATTAATTTTTATATTTAGAACTGATCATTTATTTAACATTAGGCACCTGAATATGGTGATATCAGAGTTACTATGAAAAACATTCCTCTTACGGTTCAACTTGAGGAATCTGTAAATCTGAACTGTCATATAATAAATACATCGTAAGTAGATAAAACAAATTAGATGTTAAACATTCTCAGTAAATTTGATATAGATGATTGATTTGATCTTGTATTAGCGAAAGGAGCATGGACTTGATGCTAAGTTTGGAATCGAATAGTTCAATAGCATGGTGTGGAATATCTAATACAACGATCGGCACGTTAAAACCGGGCGTTTCAATAGACATTCCTTTATGCTTAATCGCATTACGTACTGGTATTATTGTGAGTACATGAATGTGATGTGAAGATGTCAAATATTAAGCCTTAATGTAAATAAGCTAATGCGATTTATGTTACAGACTGTTTCCGGATTGAAATTGACCGATACATTTCTGAAGAGAGTCTACGATTACGATGATTTAGCACAAATATTTGTCAGCCAAACGGACTAGTCGAGGAATTTATAAATTAGTGAAAGTATATTTATTAACTCACTGTACCTTATAAAAAAAATGTATATTGTACGTTTCTTAATGTATTGAGAATCATTGATGTGGAAAGAAATAATATTATTTTTTACAAAATAAATACTTCACAAGTATGAATCTATTGTGGACGTCCTATCAGTTTCACTTTGAGCCCCTACAGCACAAGCAAGTAGAGTTTGAACGTCTTGAGGTTCATTCCCACCAAAAATGTATCCATTAGCTGTATCCACTGCGTTTTTTACTCGTAACAGCATTTCTTGATTAGAGACATCTAATGGTATAAAGCTGACGAGACTGTAATCTTCTATCAACGACACGAAGCTTTCGTTTAACTTTTTATATCTGGAGATATGAATTATACGGTATATTTGGTTTAAACTTTTTCTCTTACGGCATAATATTAAAGACTTACTTTGACGTAAATGAGTCTGTATCCAGTTTATCTAATAAATATCCCAGGTCTAGCACTTCTGTATAAAAGTCTATATTGAAATCCAAGCGGTGACTAAACTTTTTCACTTCATCAAACTTGGTCATCACATTCACGTGAGGTTGACTTAATTTTAACATGGTTGTTGTACAAAGAATGACCGCGGATAAATATTTGCCTACAACAAATTTAGATCGACAATATCTACTGACCTATTAAATCTGTAGAAAAAATTATAACAAATGAAAGTTACTAGGGTCGCTGCAATGGTGAGAATCAATAAGATGCACGCAGCATAATCTAACTAAATTTTGCTCCAACTTTTCAGCAATTGCACTAATTGAGTTATGATGTGTGTACAATTCGACCTATAGATAAATAAATATTAATGTTTAAAAACCTAAAATATTATACAATGTCTGTATAGGTGCATATGCTTACATACCTGTCCAGGACAATCAAATATGAGATAATGATCTTTCAAGTTTAAGACTTTTCCAATCAACCATTTTACATTAGCTTCTAAAAATTCCATACAGTAAACAAGTGCTCCATTTGGACCAAGTCTAAACTGTGTCATCACTTCTTCGTGTTTGATTAATTCTGATATATTTACCGCTGGTTTGTATTCCATATTTTCATTTGCAGGATCTACAAACATAAGTTATTAATGTTTATTCACTTCACAATTTTAGTCGAAACAAAATCACTTCCTGACGCAATTAAATCTTTACCAATATTGATGACAGCCACTTTCCTACCAAGTCCTTCTAAAAATGTAGCCATCGCATTGCAATATGTGGTCTTTCCACTTCCAGGTGGACCAATAACTAATTGGGCGAATATTAAACTCATATTTGTATCTTATTTCTGTAATTAAAATGCTCTCATATCTTTTATAGCGGCAGCAACAGTTCTCAAAGTGTCTGGATTATAATCTTTTAAAGATATTGAAACCAACAATGGTTTATCTACATTAATTTCTTCTGCTATGAATCGGGCAGCTGCTACAATTTCAACATCATCTTTACCGAATAATACCCTAAAAGATTGATAAATGTTAAATTCTGGATATAATAATAATATCAATATAATCATTTACTTAATGAAAATAATTACATACTTTGTAGAATATATACTATTAGTAGGTTGGTTTAATAGAGATCCACGATTTATGGCTATTAACGATCCAAATTTTTTATAATGTGTTATGATTAATAGAACACGATTACTGAAAACAACACAATTTGGGAAATAAATGTTGCAAATTTTGAGATAATCATTTTATTGACTGAGTATTCAAACAAAAGGTAAGAAATGTTAATTATATCATTTATTACCTGTAAATTTTCAATGCAATGTCGGTATGATAACCATTAGTAATAATGGCACAAGCATGACTTTTCATATTTGCTGCCTTATCTATAATAAAAGGAATCGTATAGTTAAATAAAAATTGTCAAATTCTTAATGTGAATATTTAAAACTGAACGAAAAATATATGCTTACATCATGTTAGGATTGTGTTAAATGTTTGTGCTTAGTATTTACAGATATGTATGAAGTACAAACAAGAGGTGTACTGCAGTTTACTCTAATCAGTAAATCAGTCCGTTTCAAGTTAGGAGAACTGATTGAGGCGATTGAGCATGAGCGAGCACTAACAATAAGTAAATCCAGCAGACCTGAGGACCTTTTCTGAATCAGGCCTAAGAATAAGTATTTCAGGTATACAGTGCTCACGTGGTTCTGTTGTATTTTGCACCGTAACTCGACTGACGCGTGCGCATAAAAATCTAGAAAACATGCCTTTTAGTTTTATCTCTGTTGTATACGCACAGCAACGCACAGTGTCGCACAGTACTAACACTAACAGCTGCGTTCTGCATTCTACGTTGTGTGGATTGCGAACATCCCTACGAAGTTTTAGTTTATAAAGCGTATTGTTGTTTTCGAAACGTTAACGAGCGTTTAGATATAATAATGACGTCTGTAGATTCGGGAATTGATATGAGTAACAATTCAAATGACTGTTTGATTAATCAGGACGATCGGGAAAGAATTAACAATGATTCGACACAGGTTGAAGGAAACGCTCCTCCGTTCCTTATATCAGATAAACATGTTTCATGTTTTACGGCCCAAGGTTCCTTGACCGAATATTCTCAACTGAGAAGTGGTCCACAACGTATAACTCTCACTTCCCGCCCTGTAAGTACTTTGTTGTTATATATTCTCATACTCTCATGTACAGTGTTGATCATCTTGAATTATTTAGCTTAGATTGCTTATTTTTCTAACAGACAGCCTAATTAATTAAACATTAATGGCAGATATTTAATATTTTAATCATTTGTTCAATTTCAGATAGGTCTGAAATTAAATAAAAAACGGAAAGTGCAGGCATGTATGTTGAATAAAAAATAATTATTTATATTAATGTTTAAGTACCTGTCCATTGAAAACAGCTTTATTTCAAAATATTTTTTGCCCTTGTAGTTCCCTACTATAGGAAGAGCTTTGTGTACAACAGACAATTTGTAGGGAAGCAGGTGAACTTTATTAGTCCAACTGACACTACTGATTTTCGTGGAAGAACTCCTCTTCATCTTGCTGCTTCCAAGTAAATCTTAGTTTTATTCTCGAGCAGCTTTCTAGTCTAATTGAAAAATAGTAAAACATTTGAATACTATTTAGAATTTTATATTAATTATACTACGAAACTTTATTTCAGAGGCAGCACAAAAATAGTTTCTTTTTTACTAGAACATGGTGCAGATCCTAATCTTCGTGACGTTATGGGCAACACTCCATTGCATTTAGCAGTTGCAGCAAATAAGATGCCCGTGGTGATGCTTCTTCTGAAGGCAGGAGCAGATGTTACGTGTTTGGATCACGAGGGTAACAGTTTGTTGAAATTAGCGCAGAGAAAATTGTCGTTATTACAAAATTGTGCAGACACAGAAACATCAAAGATTAAAGAGGAAGTTCAAAGCATAATCGATATGTTGGTCTCTTGTTTGCAACAACAGAAAGATATCGAGGCCGACAGAAAGATTGAGACGCTCGTCAGTATTTATTCGCGTTTGATTTTATCAAACACACCAAATAAAGTTCAAAGCGACGTAAAAGATCTGTTAGCTAGTTTAGATGGTCTGTCAATAGGTAATCAACCCGCGGACTGTTAATTATATTGTCAGATCGAACAACGGTACAAAACTGAATGAAACAAACGTAACAAAACAAGCGAAAAAGTATGCAGTGGATTTATTACTCTTAGTAAAGTTCACGTTTCGTTTGATTTGCTTATATGGCGGTTACTTACTATGTTATAGATTACGTCGTTTTCATCGTCACATACAGTTGCAGGTATTAGACAATTGTTTAAGTCACTAAATAAATCATTGAGTGAAATTTAAGTTAAATAATAATATTTATGTTGCAAGTATATCTTTTATATCAAAAGGAAATAAAAAGTTTAATGTTCAACAGTAAATATCGTCGCTTTATACAATCTCTTACAAAATATTTTAACTTAAATAGTACCAAAACAATTTTGTTTAAACTGGATCATTTTTTATGATTACTTGATAAAAAGAAAATAGCGAGAGTTCTTAAAGTAAATGAGAAAATAAATTCAGGACGTTTTCACAGTGTACTCTTGAACATTAAATAGTATGTATAATGTAACAGAAATTATATACAATCGCGATACTTTTATAAAAATAGGAGTGATTAATTGTAGAAGATGGTAGTTATATTGTCTTCTGTATGTATGTGTGTCTATGGATGTATAAATAGTTTCTGCAGTAGTTGATATACAAATTGTAAATAAGTAATTCCCTGTTAGTGGTACTTATAGCAGATGTTTAAGGAAAAATATCTCGGTTTATAGGAACTAACATTTTTATAATTAATTATGTATTCTGATCGAGCGTACGCAAGACAATTTGTATTTTTCTTACACTGTAATATAGTTTCTAAATTTATATTCTTCAATTCTGTAATTTAAAATCGAAATAATCGTCGTTGTATGAGACTTGGTTTGACTCAGTAGATTGAAACGAATTCTGTTTTGACTTGTGCGAATATCAGAATATATGTATACATATATTTACAACAGAGATATTTAATTTTTTTCATTCCTTATCCTGTTAACATCTTTGTATGTGTGTGGAGTTCTTATACATTTTAACTACATACGTATGTATTTCCGCGATTATAAACAAAATACGATGACTTGACGCAAAGAAATTTATTATTTATATTCGCCATCATACTAAACAACTCTCATTAAACATTAACGATCGTTCCGCTAAAAAATAGCGGAATAACAAAAATTAATATTATACACGATCTCGTTTCTTCTGATGTAATTCAGGACTTTCTTTACGTTAATCGTACAATTATTCACACTATGATACATTTCACAGAAGTAAATGAATAGAAAGAAAACTATACAAAAATATCATACATGCATACCCAATGGAATTACATTGTTTTAAAATAGATCGCTTCGAAAATTTCATATTCCTATGTAATAATATCAACAACTATTCACTGTTCCTCTCATTTAATGTACGGTTAAATTATGATTTGATAAAAGAAGATTCATACATATTCTTGCGATATGCTTGTGTTACAAGATCGAAGGCCAGTAAAATCGAGTTATGTGACTAGGAAGGACAGAATAAAATCTCTTGATCAGAATAAATAGGTTTGCAATTATACACGACAACTGGTTATTAATTCTCCCATTAATTATCCAGGAAATAATTAATTTGTAAACCGGTAGCCTCCAAGTTAAATGTACAGGCGTATCATGTATCGTAATTCGATTACTTGTAATCGCAAATCAGTTCTTCAGTTTCTTCCGTCTATTTTTTCTCACAATCGATACGATACGATAGTAGATTTACGACGCCGCAAAATACATAATTTATAGAATTATCAAGTGTCACGATACTAACTAAGAGTTTCATACAAACCAGTTTTTTACTAATCGTACGTTGTCCGTCAGGTAACTTGATATGTTACTTATTACGTTATTAATTAATAATGTCTTGAGAAAATATGAACATAAACGTTAGGCAAAGAAATACAATAACTCGGAAGACCGACACTTGCAATGGTTAATGCATCTGTACAAGATTCGAGCTCGATATCAATAATTAAATCAATACTGTGTCGCCAGCACATATACCAGACTACAGTATTTCTCGTTCGATAAATTATTATATCCATTCCAAGACTTTCGTAAACAATACACCTAAACCTCGAGTTACTCAATTATAATTGAATAAACCTTATATCTAAGAAGATTATTCTTTCATTAATTAAAAAGAAAAAATGTAAATAAAGTTTCGCTCTCACCAATTTCGTATTTGTATGGTTTTTATTAATACGACTTTGAAATATAAAAATATAGTCTTTCGTATATGAATAAACATGCGCGTAAAAACATATTTCTTTGGCGGTTCGCAGCCTGTAAAGAAAAATAAATCGGAGCTAACGCGTAACAATTGAACACTTTATTAAACGAATGACCTGCTCCTTATTTTCCATTCAAATAGAGGATCTCGTACAGTTCATATACAATTCTGCGATATTTTACAAAATCTTCCTATGTACAAAAATGATATTACAATAAATACAAAGCGGTAAATCGCTTGATTATTCTTATTAGACGCAATTAAACCTTTAAACGCCTTCTTATTTCCCATGCAAATGAGGGGTCACAATTTACGCAGAACTTCCATCATCAATCATCCGTGCAAGTCGAGGGTTAAGTGTATACGTACTCGATTCGATCAGAAGTAGCTATTTATCAAACTCAACAGTACTTGCCGAGTAGCTCAAAGCCTGTAGGACATTTTTAAAGTTACACTACTGTGTATCATGTAGAAAACAGACCAAAGGGGTACGATTTGCGCTGACAAAACAGTGACTAGTCAGCGTCGTTGTGCGATATCGCGTATAGAAAAATGGAATTTGCACAATCTAATATTAATTTTATCTATCAAGAAAACCTCGGACAGAAATACAAATAATGAATTAATCAAAGTGCTGAAACATTTGTCATCTAGTAAAGGTATAATTTTAGCGTATGAACAATAATGAATCATCCAGTAGAAAAAATATCTATGAAATAAACGTATTGAGCTTGTGTGAACAGTGACTACATCGAATCTCATTATTTAAATTATACCTAGATTATTCGTATGCGCCTGATGGAATGATTTAATTTCACAGTCTAGAATGTACACCTATCGCGGTTCACCAAATCGTGACGCTATGTAAATATATTTTAATACAGTATTGTCACCAGGACCATGCTACCGTATATATCGCACTAGGATTGTACCATTTGATTTTCATTGCTAGCTTCATATGAAGTATAACGATAATTTGTATCAAGGAGACATCACCGACGCCAAGGACGGGAATATTTCAGCTTGCAAGGGCCCATAATCTACCTTTTCTCCATCCACCGTAATATAACCGTGCGCTCCTTCTTCTGGTTCTAATCGGAACGCCTTCACCGGTATTATCTCGATGCCGGAACGTGTTAAATGGGTACCATTACTTAAACCCAACAGGAACTATCGGACACAGTAAAAAAATTCTTAAAATATCAAAATAATTATCTTGCTAACTTGATTTGGTTTCGTAACAGTTATTAACGCGGTCGTACCGATAAGAAATTCTTGTCACTGGTTGGCGTACTATCGGTCGCAAAGATTGAAATTACTTTGTCGATAAATAAAGCAATAATTGTTTTATCTGTGAGAGTGTTTCACTTATTTGGCAATCAATTAGATCGCCGGAAATATTGTTTCTAATTGGACTATTTACCTGGAGCAAATTGGCTCTAGTGATTCCGGCTTTCACTATCACGAGCCAAATAATACCATCCGCCAATTTGGCACGGGGTGCGAAGAAATAATCCTGGCCCAAATGAGACTGGAACGCCGCGTGGACCATGACGAACTCTCCTGAAATCCAGATAACGAATCCATCGGATAATCAGTCGACACTCACATCACATCAATTGCCTTAATTACTTCAAATTTATTTTTGTTTCTTCTTTATTAAATATCTTTTGATCATTGTATTCTAGCGGAAGAATCTTCGGCGACATTTAATAAAGACGTCGGTGTAGATTATGTTTGCAAATTCTCTCTCGTTGTGTCAACGATTTCCGTTTACGTTCATGCTGATGCATCGCCTTCCTCTCTCGGAAAAGAAATCATATACAAATACGGGTCACGGTGAACAAAACCGCCAGCAGCAATATCTGTCCTCGCTACCTCTAAGTATGCTTTTCAAGGAGATGCAGTAGCATTAGTGAGTATAGTACCGTGCCGGATAAAGTCATGAATTAGTAGGTATATGTAGAAGAACGCGTAAGTCGCGTAGGAATCCTTATACACCAACATACTCAAGTGTTTCATCACACAGTAATATATCATTTTGTTTCGTATGTATTCAAGTTTAATTATTATTAAGCAGAGAATATACGTTGATTTATTTGTACCTCGCAATATCGTATAACAAAGACATTCATTCTTACCTTGGATTTGTGTCCAGGAGCTTGGCACTTCAGAAGTCAGAGCGGGTAATCTCGATGATGGACCATACATAAGCTGACTAACATTGTCTGTATCTTAAATTTACAAAATTATTCATTTCTCAAGTAAAAGCAAGATGACGTTATGTTTTTACAAAACGAATGCAAAAGTATAAATGCGTAAAACAATGAATGAAGATACAAGGATACGGGGAATAATTCACGATGCTTAATTGGAAACTATTGCGAACAAAGTATCTCAGTAGCTTACCAACTTCTCCATTATCGGGCTGATCGATACTATGGTAACTGGAAATGGAGCCCGTGCTGAAGTACGTCGATCTCGCGGAGGTCGCCGAGTAGAAACTATCTAGTCTTTGTCTTCTCTCAGTTTCCGTTTCCAGAGTAATGCTTTCGCTTATTATCTCGTTATCCTCGTAGCCATCGAAGGATCCATCCAAAACCGCGGCGTCCCCGTCGAGTGCATCATGGAAGCTCTTCGATTCACTAACTTTACTGTATCTAAATACATTTTTATATTTTCTTTACATCGCAAATCAATACTTTAAATAATAATCGCATTCTCTCGCGATTTAATTTACATCCTCCAATGCAATTTCGTGAAACAAATTACGCATGCAAATAACTGAACGATAAGCCGATAACGCACCGATCCAAGTCATCGCCGCAGCTCCTTGAATGGGATATTTGGACTTCACTCACGTACTCCTTATAGGCCTTTCCATTGCTCAAACTCTCACTAGACGACACTTTATCGCAAGGTAGGTATGAAACCTTGCCCTTATACGTTCTCAGTCCAATCAGCCGCGCGATTGTCCATACGGTGAATCGTTGACCGCCTATCGCCCGGAGACGTTCGCTTTCAATATCGATGTCTGCGAGCAAGCCCCAGCCAATTGATAAGAACGAGAACAGTATTTGGTTTCTGGTTTCAACGCGCACCAAATCCATCTGTGTGCTCTTGAATTTGACCACGGCCAGCGCGCTCACCAAAAGCGGATTCGAATCGTACGGCTCTCTGAAAGAGATTTTGTATTTGATTATGAGATATCTATATATGTATTATCTTCTCCCTTTTATTAGCCAAGTTTTCATGGAAAACTTGTTAATCATATTTTAGGGCATTTAATTCACATTAGTAGATTTCCCTTTTTATCTTTGATAATTATTTAAAAATAAACCTCTTGAAAATGTTATAGAATTCATTGACTGGCTCAAGACAAGTGCGTTGTTCTTTCCTCCTAATAAAGCATGAAAAAAGTAGAAAACTTCTCTACGGTTCTTGCATCGAGATTACTAGAATTTTGTAATAAGGCAAAGTGTTTTTACAATTCTTTTTTCCGCTGCATACAAAATAATCGCCGCTAAGGCTATCGCTATGTTTTATCAAATTGCCTTTACTTCTAAATGCAAACTCGGTAGTCAACTACCTGAAAAATGTAACAAAACACGAAATATATAGCAGTATTGTTAGATAGCTTGTAGAATTATACGAATTATGAATGTGAACAATGTTAAATATGGATACGTGTTTAATATCGTGTGAAAGCGAAAGGAGAACAAATTGCTTCTGGCTACGACTGAAGAAAGAATGAAGTTTGCTAAAAAATTGAGGACACGTGTACCCGTAGTATACATACATATGTATACTGATTGTCTTGTTGTGTTCGACCTCGTCAACGAGTTTATTCGAGACGATAAATAAGTACGTCTGCACGAAGAATACGTACTCGATGCTGGAAATCTTTCCGATTATGCACTTTTCGGGTCGAGTTAGTAGAATAAGCAGTTTTTTTTCTTTTCCTTTACCTCTATTGTTTCATCAATTACAGACTGACACGATCAATTATAATCTTAGAAAATAAATAACTGTCTAAATAAGTGACTGTCAAAAGACATAATTAACAATTATTATATTCGGATAGCTGAGGTTTTATTATAATTTTGGATGGATGTTGTCTCTTATACATACAACGTCATTCAGTAATAGTTATCTTATCGGTATAAGAAATTACGACGAAAATAAATATTTGTTAAAAGTAATCTATTTGTACACAGGAAGACGTTAATGAAGTTTGAGTGTAATTTTAAACAATTTTTAACTAGGACAAATTTTTTTTGTATCATAACGAAAAGTAATACTTATGACAGATTTTTACTTTTTTTTTTTTAATTTAACTCAAAGATGCTAATACCTCTTTTCTATCTGAAAAAGAAAAACGAGACTAGCAAGCGAGGTATTCACACACTTTCAGGTTTTAATAAGAGTAGCGACATGGACGTAAATGCAGGAACGTCATTCTTTTCCAAGAGCTCATAATTATGTATCGCCTGTTTTTGCTGCAAGCCTTTTAAAATATTTTTTCTTGGCTTACCGGGGTAAGTAATTGGTGAACGGTCAACAAGCGGAAAAACCCGCACGATATTTAAACAGGTATGAAACTCTCGGATATTTCCGAATAGATGAAGATAAAAACATTTTTTCTCGGCTGCACGTGGAATAAACGTAAATTATTACCTTGGCGTTCTACCACGAAAAAGAATATGCATAAGCAACGGTTATTCAATAGCTCAACGAGATACATCTTCGCTGTACAAGCAAACAAGAGCTATTTGGTACATACTAATTTTACATCTGCTCAACACGTTCAGCTGGTTCGTTGCTCTTCAATGTCTATCAAACTGTGCCATACTTTTAGTCTTTTTTAAACTTACAATAGCTGGGCAATTAGGCGCATGTTCTTCTCTGTTTTTATAGCGTGACATCAAGTACCAAAAGCTTTTTGTGTCGGAGGAAAAGTTAAATGAAGCATAACGAAGGCAAATTGAATTTAGCGAAGGATTCCCCTCTCGTTTTAATAGCTAACTTGAAATTAGGTCGATTTATCGTTTATAATTTACGGTCTCCAAACTCATTATCGCTCGCTTGTGCGCATATCGTTAGAAGGCGACAAAGTAAATATGTCAGTTATACAGTTGCGAACTCGCAAAATTGAAAAATTAACACAGCCACGAACATGAGTCTAATATAGCCAAACGTAAGAGTATCAACTGACCGTTCTACTACGTGAAACAATATCTCCGCAGAACATTGATTATATATGAAATGAAAGAAATGTGACTCCTCTCGCGCGAGGTTCATACCAATTTATAAGATAAATTAGTAACTGTGATGACTATTAAGCGACGTTATGTCGCGTACATTTGAATAATTAACCCTTTGCACCGCAACAATATTCGACACAATGAACCAATGCGGTACAAACTGATGCCCCGTCAATAATAATAAATACTTTATTCAAGTGGTACTCTTTCTGCACGGTGTTGAATATTCCGCAATGAATTATTCGTAGAATCGTTCAACGGATTTCGGACTCCATGTATACGAAATTAATGACGAAAAGCGTAATTAGAAGTCGGAGGCTTGTTGAAATCGCGGGACCACCTCGCAACGTGCATGCAGATGCATAAATCGAAACCAGTCGGTTGCAGGCGGAAATAACGACTTCCTCGGAACTTAACGGACGGCTATAGGGCAGGCCAAGAGCGCATAAAATAAATCACAGGCACGGATGAATTCTGAAACAACTTACTGTTTAGCGTACGCGATGGATTTTGCCAACCCGTTACCGGAACCGCAGGGTATCACGCCAAGGGGCAATTCTCTCAGCGCTTTCTCCCAATCCGGTCGTTGAAAAAGCCCGTTCAGTACCTCGAACACGATACCGTCGCCCCCGACCATCACCAGACCGCTCCATTGATAGATGTCCCTCGTACGCACAAACTCGCGCGCGTAATTGGCACACTTTGTGATGTGAACCTCGTAAGGCCTCTCGGCTTCCGACAGAATCGGATGGATCCTCTTCTGGAACGTCTCGCGGCCCCTTCCCGGGCCAGATTTTGGATTAAGTAGCACCAACATCTTCCTCTGTTCCCCTGGGCACGCTGCAACACACACAATTTATGCTTATCTAATTGTAAGATACAAAGTATCGCTTACGATTAAATTGTTATAAATCATCACAGACTGCGGACGTAATAGCGTTAGAGAATGCGTAGAGTTTTGTCGATTCTCTGGGTTTGGATTATGGTAATTCCTGTTACAATTAATAGTGAAATCGGTTAACAGGGCTTTTGATTGTATAATCTTACGCAATAAATGGTAGTTAATTGTGAAGAAAATTTCTACAGCGTACAGTTACGTGACGTGTAACGTAACGAGCGTGTTTAATCTTTGGAAGACACCATTGCAGGCGCCGCAGCATCCCTCTTTGCAGAGATTTCTCTGCAGTTCTGCCGCACTATGTATATGTATACGTACATATCTCAGTTAAATTCTTATCAATTTTAGTCTTTCATAATGAAATTTACAAGTGTACAAGTATTTAACTTCAGGAAATGATAAAACTATTTATGCAATTATTCGACCTGATTCTAATTGCATTCGAAATTACAATTTTTTAACATTCAACTAATTAATATGATAATAAAACGAAGTATTTTTTTCGAACTGTTCAAACCTGTTTTCAGTACCTAGTCGCATTTACGTAACTTCCAGTTATGTTGAAAATCGGTACTGAATGTACAGAATCAGGAAGTCGATTTATGTAATGAAATTTATGTAAAAGACATTATCTAGATTTCCGAAATTCAACGAAAGAAAGGGTGCGTAAGATGACTTTCGAACGCAACTAGGTATGCACCTGCTTCCAGTCGAACCATTTAAACAGGTTCTCTGCTCGTATTTACGTAAACTCGATAGTTACGCATCGATAGATACAACCGGTGAAAGTAGAGGTAATGCGAGTGATAAAAGCCACAGAGGCGAGAGAAATCATTCGTTATTGGACGTACATGATATATCCTTCGTCTACCATTAATCATCTCATCGCTGCGCTTACGTAATTTAACAAAAACTGTTTGTCGAGGAAAAAAGACACGAATTCTAGTCAATCGTTCTTTCAAGGTATTTGCCGAGGTTTTTTCACACGTTCGAACAACGTGTATATTTTCAATAAGCATTTTGCAATTCCTAGGATTAGATATTCCTTGCTGATACATGTGTGTTAGCCACGTCTTATTAAAGTGCTAACGAATTAAAATTAGTTTCACACGATGCTAGGACGACCAAAGGTCCGAACATATATAACACAATCTCTGCAAAAGACCAACTTGTATTGTATACCAACAATATTTAGATAGAGTTAAGTGATTTATTTCGGCTACATGGACCCAGAAATAGAAAGTACAACACTATTGTCTCACACATATCAACCTTATAGATTTTGAATAATAATAATAAAATAATCACATTTCTATTTGTACATTTTCTTAAATTACCTCATTTCTAGTCTTTGATCAACAATAGAGTCTACTATATACCTAAGCATATCCCTGCTAATGTACTTGTATACCAATAATATTAAGTATTCAAGTTAGAGATACTCCTTATCTTCAATACCTTATCATCCAAAATTCATCATCCTATGACTCCTCTCTTTATCTTTCCATGATTTACTCCTTGACTCCTATTTGCAAACTTTGTCCAATCTTCGCTGTATCATTTCTCAAATACTAACCCTGACAGTCCTATCTTACAAATCCTAATCCTCACCATGAAAACCTAAAAGACTAATATCTTAGCCCGTTTTCCATGATCGCACTCTCGTTCCGAACTCTGACGGACACCTCACCCGTGTTAAGGATGTATTGGTTATACAGTCAATCCCAAAAGCTTATGCACTTTAGAAACGCATTTTTTAAAAAGAAGTCAGACGTCGGAAGAACATTGCTAATAATAAACAACAAAAAAAAA